GGGTTTCTGGAGGGCTGACCTGCTCTCACTCGCCTGTTTTTCTCCAGTTTTCTAGATGGCAGCGGCATAGACGACAGCCCGTCCACACAGTTTGCAGAGGTGAGTGTTGCTGTCGTGCGTGGGTTTTTCCAGCTGTAGCCATGAAGAGGTTTTCAGTCTTGGCTCCAGGTACAGTACGTGAAGGCATCTCCGCTCACTGCCTTGCGACGAGCACAGCTGATCTTCCCAAGAGTTTGCAGGAACTCAGCAAATTTCGAGGAGACTGTTGACCTTGCCGGGGTTGAGACCTGCCAGAGATTTGCTCACTGGGCAGGGCAGGAAAAGAAGGATGCTAGAAAGACAGGCTGGCCCTGGTCGGTGGTGCTCAGCCAGCCAGGGAGGGTGTTGCCTGACCGCCCTTTCCTACGTGCTCATCGCTGCTCGGAGTTTTACCAGAAATTCAGCTGTCGGAAAAACTTGGTAACAAAATCAGCGTCTCAGAATTTGGCTGCGTGGACCGCAGCGCGGGAGGTGTTGGGTGGCAAGGGCTGGAAGTGCCTGTTCTTACCCCGGTACCTAAAGTCTCAAGCAGCCGGGCGCGCGCCGACGGCCTGAGTCGGGCTCCGGGAATACACACGGCGAGCTCTGAGTCACCCGGGGCTCCTGGCTGGGGGCGGCGGCCAGAGCCCGGGGAAGGACAGGCAGCTCTAGGCTCTGCTCTCGGGCTTCCTTCCTCAGGGCTCCGTTTCCCTTCCGGAGCTGAGCCGAGCCGCGTAAAACAGAGTGGAGTAAAACGTCTGCGCGTCTCCTCTGCCAGCAGGCCTTGCTCAGAGGTCGGGTTATTCGTTTGCTTGGTTATTGAGGAGTTTGAACTGTTTCTCGGTCCTGCCAGGCTCCTCAGCCCTCCCCGATGCCTCGTCGGCCAGGGCTGTCCCTGGGTGGATCTGGGGGTCTGCGTTGTCGCTGAGCTCCTGCGTGCGCTGCAGCAAAGCCGCTCGGTTCAGTGCCAGAAGCAGGGTCACCAAATGGCTGCAATTCCTCTGCGGCTTTGTGTTTCGGGTCTGGATCCCTCCTGTTTGCTTCCACGCTCCCCGCGTCCGGCCGGTTTGCCTCTCCTCGGCTCCTCTTCGGCTGGGCCCGTTGGTCTCCTGAACAACAGCTGTTGCCTGGATGTTGCTCATCGCCGGAAGGGTCCGTGCTCCAGCGGGATGAGGTGATCTCGCCTCGGAGCCCCTGTCTCGATTTGCAGAGAGCTTCGGGATGCCTCCGCATGAAAGGCGCTGTGTAAATTGAAATGGCTTTTAGGATTAATAATAAATGAAAGTCTTCTCTCAGCAGCGTGGCTGCAGGCGGGCAGAGCTCTGTCTTGATCACAACCAGCAGGAGGACAAGCAAAACTCTGTCTGCGGGGTATGAATTCAGAGAACAGGTCATCAACCTCTCCCTTTCCTCCAGCACCAGATTGAGCCAGGCAGTGTAAGAGACTTGTGAAGTGAGCTAATCTGGTGTGAAATGGAAATTAAGCCGCTCTGATCATGTCATAAGGCGTGATGAGGGTCTAGTACCAAGAAGACAAGAACAGCCCTCGCGTTACGCTCCGTGGCGTTTAATTCCCGCCGTAAATCCGAGGGCACCGCTCCTTCGAATGCCTGGCCTGGCCGTATCGAGCGCGAGCAGCAGCTTGCTCCCACGTGGCACACGGACGGTGTCTTGTCCTTGTTTTGTTGCCTCCTACCAAGTTGGTTGCTTTTTTTCTTTTCGTAAACCCACATCATCGATCGTCAGTGCCCTCCTCAGCTGTCGTTTGAATCCGTGGGTGATCTGAGTCGCGGAAGGAGTAGAACCAAGTGGCTGTTGGAGGAGAGGGTGGCTGAGGGGGCTCTTGGCTCCGAGCCGTGGCTCGGCGTGGGGGTGCCTTGCTCAGGTTCTGGGGGGTTTTCGTGCACCCCCCGGTTTCTCTGCGGGCTGGCAGAGAAATCCCAGCCCTCGGAGAGAGAGACCGGCCCTCGCGGTGCCCTGGGCTGGCTGAGCGAAGCACGCGAGCCGTGCGTAGCGGGAAGGAGCTGACACGTTGGTCTTCCCGGGGGTGGTGTATCTCATTAGTTTGGGCTATAATTAAGCGTGTTTGCCAGACTTTTTTCTGGGAGCCATGGTAACCAGATGAATTTGCTCAGTCACTTCTGTCGAGGTGGACTTCCCTGCCTCCGCGCTGGCAGCGGAGTCGCCGGGTTTAGTGACGGAGCTGTGTGTGGTTTGTGTCTCCCCCTCTCTCCCCCCAGCTTTGGGACCATTTGGACCACACAATGTTCTTTCCTGACTTCAGACCCTTTCTGAGTAGCAGCTCACTGGATCAAGACAGCAGGGACAACGAGAGGGGCCACCAAGCCCACGCCGACCTCTGGGGACCAAGCCGACCCCCGCGATTGCCCATGACGCGGAGGTACAGATCCCGGGGCAGCTCCCGCCCCGACAGGTCTCCCGCTATCGAAGGGTAAGTGCCTCAACTACCCCCTGCAAGTCTCTCCCTGCCCCAGCTGTGGACAGAAAGTGGGATTCTGGGGAGAAACCTGGTGAAACGGGATCCTGGCACTTACGGTGGGTGACCCTTGGACCCAGAAAACGTGGGGTTTCGCATCAGATGCTCTGCCCTTTGTCCCCCCTGGCCCGAAGCGGAGCCGCGTGGTGGGAAAGGTGGGTTTTGCCTGTAACGGTGCCAGCCCTCGCCACAGGGAAGCGAGTCAGCGCTTGGGAAACTCACTCGCTTCCTCTCCCAGCCCTCCCACGCTCTGACGAGCTGGCAGCCCTCGCTCTTCGTGCTGTGCCTCTGTCTCGGGGCTCGCCCTGCCGCGGAGGGATGCACCTAGGCCCCAGCCTGGCAGCGGCGTGGCTGCGATCGATCCGAGCAGTGTTTCACGTTTTGCTGCCCGTTCTTTCTGAGCTGTGGCTGGGGCGCGGGTTCAAATTGTAATGTTTTTTTTTTTCTCTCTCTTTCGATTCCTCCCTCTTTAGAATAATACAGCAGATCTTTGCAGGGTTTTTTGCAAACTCAGCGATTCCTGGTTCGCAACACCCTTTTTCCTGGTGAGTAGCGAGTGTGGTTTACACCGTGGCTTTGTCCTGTCCACACCAGTAAACACCAGTGGTCTGGTGCTGGGGCGCTCCGTCTCCCCAGCGTGGCTTCCCTGGGAGGATCGTGCAGACCTCGGGGCTGGTTTGGGGTGGGGGAAACGGCTTCCGTGACTCTCTGCTCCTGTCCGCAGGAGTGGGATGCTGCACTCGAATCCTGGGGACCATGCGTGGGGACAGAGCGGCCTTGATGCCATCGTCACCCAGGTAAGACCCTCGCCTGTGCCTGCGTGGAGAGAGTCCCAAGCTGGCTGGCCTGGGCTCCGATGGGTTTCTGTGCTCCTCCCGGGTCGGTCCCGCTGCTGGAGATGAGCCCTGGGTTTCAGATGAGGACTGGAACACACAGAATCCCAGCATGGTCGGGGTTGGGAGGGCCCTCTGTGGGTCCCCCAGCCCAACCCCCTGCCCAAGCAGGGTCACCCAGAGCAGGGGGCACAGCACTGCGGCCAGGCGGGGCTGGAATATCTCCAGAGAAGGAGACTCCACAGCCTCCCTGGGCAGCCTGGGCCAGGGCTCCGTCACCCT